GTTTGACCCTACTACTCCCTCTGCCACCCCCAATATTTGCAGAGAACTCATTCTACCCACACAAGACAGCCAGCTTCCTCCCTCTGGTACAGCCAGGGAAGGTTTGGGGAAGGGGAACGGGGAGCAGGAAATGGCGGGGAAGAGGGTGAGGGAGACTGTTATGGTTAGCTCCTCTCCAGATGGGGGGAAAGCAGATCTCTGACACTTGCCCCTTAAGGCTTTCGAGTGTAGTGGCCCAGCCTCTAGGAAGGGAGCTGTGGAGGGATTTCCTTTTGCCCCTCCCAAGGACATTCCAGTACTCAACACTTTTTAGCTTGGTCACGTGAGGTTACAACCAAAATGGTCCACGAAGATTTCTTCTGAAGCAGTCCTTTGGGAAAAAGCAAAGCCATTGCAGTTTACATGGTATTTTGATATGTCGATGTTTATTTAAATATTTTATTTTATTTATTTTTTTAATTAAGTTTATTGGAGTGACAATTGCTAGCAAAGCTACATAGGTTTCAGGTGTGCAGTTCTGTACTACATCACCTATATATCACATTGTGTGTTCACCACCCAGAGTCAGTTCTCTTTCCATAACCGTATATTTGTAAACATTTTATTTATTTCACTTTAGTGATGTTCTCATTTTGCTTCAGATCTCAAATATTTTTGTAGGACTCTGAAAAGCTTATGAGCTTTGGACTCTGTGTCTCTGGGGCCTAATCAAGGATAGTGTTCAAGGTCGTGATCTCTTGCATACTTAGCACTTTTAATTCTCTTAAACAGCCTCTTCCCCAGGGCCATTCCGGTCCATCCCAGCTAACTTTTTTAACTCAAAATCTTGGGATTAGAGTTTCCATTGCTCCCTCTCAGGATTCCTGGACAAAATGATATACTTCTCCCCAGGAGTGTGCATTCCAAAGGCAGGAGCAGCTTTAGCTAGTCCACACAAAAGGACACCAGCCTGGGTGTCCTCCTATCCTATAGTCATGTAACACCAAAGGTTCTCTATCAGTGAATTTCCATTGTATCTAGATGGGCAAATCTCTGGTGGTGTGCACTGGGAAAACAACAATAAAAAGAAAGAAAATGAGATACCTCATTACACAAGAAAAGTGGAGACCATTAGTACAATATTCTGAGTAAGTTTTCAGTTAAGGGTTTCCTCTGCTCCATCCATTCTCACTAGATGTGATGCTAAGAGGGGAAAATAAAGTTTTAAGAAGATTTATGTTTTAATGCTGTGTTAAGTATATTCATGGTAGAACCAGCTTTAGAAGGAAGTTTTAAGAAAGCACAAAAAAGAATGTTGTAAAATTAACAAAAATGTATAAAACTGTTTCAGGATTTTAAACAAGCTGCGCTGATAAGCAAGACTAATGTGAGCCTTTGTCAAGCTACCGCCATGTGCTATCACAGGTATGCAGTGCGGTTTACGTTGAAGTGAAACCAGTGGGACTATCTAGTAATTATAATAGAAGAATAGAAGAATAGAAGAACAAATGGAGAACATGAAAGTGACAAGAGCACAAAAATGGAGAGAGACACAAAGAACCCCTGTAGAGAATTGGGGAGCACAACTAAGTGTGTCATTAGCAGCCTTCTACCTTCTAATAAATTATTTTAGCCAAGTCTGCACATAAATACCTGTATCATGGCATTGGGGTACCCATCTTATTCAAGCCCATTTACTTGGAAAGGACTTAGGTGGTATACAGAATAAAATCATGCATAGCTTGAAATGTCTAAGAATAAAATCAAGTAATTAATTTTATTTCTAAAATGAAATTAACTTTTAAAAAGCCCTTTTTCCTGAAAGAGAGGGTACTTCTGAAAAATTATCTATTTTTAAAAACATTTTGCATTTAGAAAACATAATTCTAAATCTAAAACAAAAGCAATACCACTAAATAGCTACAAAAAAACCGCTCTAGAATCTATATAAAAAATATTACTTAAGACATTATTGCCTGCTTCTGGGATTGTTGTCAAGATAAGTAATAGAAGGGGAGAAATGAGCAGTTACATAAGGCTAAAATACAAAAGAGGATCAGCTTACAATTTGCTCTGAGATAGTATTAGATGGATTTTGCTAACTAGAATGTTTATATATCCACATATACATTTGACATCTAAAAATTAATTTCTGGTCATTTTGCTTTTAAGAGCATAGGGATTCAGCATGTGAAGATTTTAACGTGGGACACATGTATTTGGTTAAGTAATAGTTTACAGCATTATTTTTCAAGAGAGAAACAATAGCAATTAATGGGAGGGGGAAATTAGGATAGTTCATAAATCATATCGACTAGACTATATAAATATCCAACGNATTATTTTTGGCCATAAAGTGTAAGTCAAATTAAATACTAACTGTGAGATCCTAGTTTGGATTGAAACCCTTTTTTTTTTCTTGGCCAATGTAGTAAGGCTTTACAGAGTTGAATCTAGGTTGTAAGCAATTATTGTATTTTTAGGCATTAACAGATTATGGAATTGTGCTTCTTCTTGATGCTGGAGAAACTGTGACATTGAATACCTTCATTAATCGTGGACTCATCTATAAAGAACTAGAGCAGTACAGCTTTGCTTTAGAGGTAAGCCTTCCTGTTTACTTGTAAAAATGAACCCACCTGATTTTGAATAGTGGACAAGTTTTTCTTAATATCAAATGGCAATATTAATGAATAATAATTCAACATTAGCATGCATTGTATTTAAATTCTTTGAATAACTAATAGACTATAAAAAAAGTGTATTTTTACTTTGTTTTGATTACAGGTAAATAGCCAGTATGTAAAAAAAAAGGTTCTGATTTGATGAAATATCACCTCCACTAAGGGAGTAATCTTGACTGTACACAAAATACAATTATTTGGCAAATAAAATGATTTATGTATTGTTTACTTTGCTACTAGGTGCTAACTCTCATTTACAATTTTCCTTATTCCCTATTGAAAATATATAAAAATAAATCTGTGTAAGGGCAGAAAATAGCAGCTCAAAATAGGCTACTGAGAATAGTAGGCACAGGTAGTCAGAATTGCAATAGAAGATAGCATCTGCAATATATATAAAAAAAACAGGTGGTTAAAGTGTATTTCTTTATAGAAGAATTAACCAAAATTCATCATTCTCAGTTTTTATCTTACTTGTATTATCAAATTTAAATTAACTTTGAAGTTAAGATTAAGAGATATAAAGCAAAAAAATAAATAGCAATTTGAAGTTTGCAGTTAAATAATGGTAGTTTTGCTTTTTTTGTTTTTGAGGGACTACAAGGGAACATTATGGAGTGGAGTGTTTCCAATTTTTTTCATCTCCAAAGATGGCTTATATTGTTTTTGTACTTCAGGAGTCATCTTTTGAGATCCTGTCCCACAGAATTACTTATTATTAGGGATGTCTGAGAAACGTTATTCTAGGCAATTTACACTACAATGAATTGTAATTCCAAAAGTTGAACTCTAGGTTTTGGCTTTGAGATATGCCATTTGGAATTTCCTCAGGTAGGAGGACTCAAAGAACTTATTTGTTTGGAGTAGGCAGGAAAGCTATGGAACTCTGGGGAACAGTGTTGGGGTGGAGATGTGTGAAAAATAGGGGTTCAGGGCAAAAGAACTCAGCTGTTGGAGAATTAAATGTAGGGCTTATATTATCTACTGGGTAAATATTTATTTATTATGTAACATCAGCATACCAGGTTCTCAACAATGCTGCAATTTATAATTCTAACTTATAGATGAAACACTGATATTCAAAATTAAGTCTTTCAATCAGGAAGTCCTGGAGCAAGATTTGAACTCAGGTCATACGTGATTCCAAATCCTATACTCTTTCAGACAAGGCAAGGTATTAGCATTGACTGGTATTGAAAATATAGAGAAAAATAAGACAGATTTCCAGTCCTTGAGGAGCTCATGGTTTAGTGGAAATCATCCTCAACTCCTCTCTTTCCTTATACCCTCCATCTAACTCATGAGCAAGTTCAGTCAGCTCTACCATCACAACATATTTTGAATTCAGTCATTTCTTATTTTTGCCACTATTCTCCTCCTAACTCAAGCCTCAATCATCTCTCCCCAATGAAGAACTATATATAAGACTGAATAATAAAAGGGCTAGCTGAAGAACCAGGATACAGTCTTAACACCTACCCAGGGAAAATTTTTAGTGGGAATTATTGATTAACAAAGAGGTCAAGTAGGATGAGTGCTAAAAACATATGAGTTAATTGATAGTTGTATGATCTTCATAGAAACGCCTTGATCAGGAAGTAGAGTGCAGCATTTAGAACGGCACTGTTTAGGAAGTTAATGGTTAAGCTTGTTGGATTGAGAACATCTGTTTATCGCTTCCTGCCTTCTTGGAAGCCTACCAGGAAGACAATAAAGGAATAAAAAAGACATAATCCCACAAGGTTAAAGATAATGGAGAAGAAATGTTCAGGCACCTAAAGCTACCATTCCAGATTATAATGCCTGAAACTTAAATATGAATGGGTAGCCAAGGCTCCTACACTCCATGGAAGTAAAACAGAGACTAGAACACGTGAATTGTCATAGGTATAGGGAGGGTGGGAGAAGAGGAGGTGTTCGGAGTGATGGTGTATGATAACTAAATTCTATCCTATGTGGGAAGTTAAACATGATACAATACTCATGTTATTTTGAAATTTGAAGGTAAATAGCAGAAGTCCTAACAGCAAGATACAAAAACAATTGCCTTTGGGGTGTGGGACTCAGGGCTAAGGAGAGTTGGAGCAGGGGATCAGTGAAGGCTTCTCTAAGTTTTATTAAACCCTCTACACTATGTACATGGGTTACTTTGATAGGAATAAAAGCAAATAAATAAATGTCTTTAGATGCAATTTCCAAATTACAAAATAAAATTGGCCTCATTAAACAACAGATAATAAGAAGCTGATGGAATTGGGGGCTGTGGAGATAGCGAGTGTTAACTATGCTTTCAGAGATTGGTCGTGACAGGAACTAGAAAGACAGGAACATGGGTAGGTTGTAGGCAAGGAGAGTTGAGCGAAGGCACATTAGGGTTGGGGCAGTGAGACAAGGATTAAAAATATAGAAAACAGCAGGAATATGAGGGAGCATATTTCCAATGGAGATGGGAAGGAATGAAGTCAAGAGCCTGTGCTCTGACAAAGAGAGGGGGACAGTGTGGGTAAAGGTTCTTACAAATAAGCTCTTCAGTGGAGGGAATTTGCTTTGTCCGAGTGACGATGTGTGGTTTGTTATTTACGATCCTCATATTGGAGAAAAAATTATGCAGAAGAGAAAAATCATAAAAACTGCTGCGAGCTTCATTCTAAGTCATCCTAATAGTCACCATTTATGTCTATTGCTGGTAATTAATGCCTAATGGCCATGTAAGCATAGTAATGATTATGTATATGGAGTCAAGCTGACTTTTGTAAGTTTTGTCTGATTACAAAACTAAACTTGGTCTTCTCAGCCTTTTAAGTTCATTTTTCATAATTCCCCCAATTAATAGGCATGTTTGTAATAAATCCCACTTAACTCTTGTAAGTTTGCCTCCATTTTTCATTTTAACAAAACAGTCCTCTTAGGGGAATTATCTGGTAGCATATTTGATTAGATTATATTTGATTAGACAATAAAGTTCTTCTTTTCTTTAANTCTTAATATCACAGATGCTACACAGCATGTTCCAAAAACTCTGATAGAATCAAGAATTTATTTTACAATTAAATTTCAGTCCATTATGATTAACCCTTGTCACCTAATTATTTTTTTTTCTTTTCTTTTAGGCTTATAAGCTAGCAATTGCAGATTTAACAACAGCTATCAACATGCACAAAAACAATTATATAGCATTTTATAACAGAGCATTATGTTACACCAAGATCGGTGAACTTCGAATGGTAAGATGGCCATTTTTGTAAACAAAATGTTAAAGCATTTGTAAATACATTTAAAGCATGTGTAAAGTGTTCTCTTATTATTTCTGTTGTAATTTTGAAAAGTAAGTCCTGTGAAAACACACACACACACACACACACACACACACACACACACATGCACACACACTCTAACTACATCACATTCCCATTGTTCTCTTTGGACATGCTCCCCCAATCTCCTTAAAACGTGGGCAGTTGAAAGTTAAATTTGTTTAAAACATTTAGAGATTTAGACATGTATTTGTTATGGAAAGGAAGAAGTTGAGAAACACTGTTTCTACCTAAAAGGATGTAGAATTCCTGGTAACCAGATGATCAGGTTTCCCCAGGAAATGTTGACAAATGAATAACTAATTTTTAACAAAGGAGTTGTTAAGATTCTAGGAGCTAATTAATGGATCATTTATCAGAGTAACCTGCATAGCAGGTGTCTTTGATGACTTCCTCCCCACCCCCCACACCTGCCTTTCCTGGGTAACTGTGAAGCCACCAACAATGGGCTGGGTGGAGGCAGGGAAGGCCCATTTTTGTTATCTCAGATAGGTAACAGCCCAGTGCTCTATCAATACAGAAGATGAAAAACTACTTAAAGAGAGACCTAACTAGAATAAATCATACTGGCTATTTTTGAGCTGCCAGGTACTCAACCCATTTCATCCAATCACTCATTTTACAGATGAGGAAATGGAAGTAGGGAGAGGTTAGAAACGCATCCAAGTCACACATGGAGTAGAGACCCGCACTGGTGTTCGCAGGTTTGTTTGCTTCTGGTTAACAGTCTTTAGGTGGCTTTGTCAAAACACCTGACTTCCAGCTTATGGACCGGATGTCCTTTAACAGTGTCACCTCCTCCCCTTTTGTTTGCCTCCACCTGTTTCTCAGCATTCCTGCCATCACTACAGTGAGAAAACCCAAGTATCTTTCTGCAGAAAAATGTACTTCGACATTCTCCCAAGATATGGTTTCATAAAAACTAAGTACAGGTGAATTTGGGTTCCCACCACCCTACATTAATAAAAATAGTAACAGCTACCACTTACTTAGGGCTTACTCTGTGACAGGTGCTGGGCTAAATGCTTCATCAACATATCATCAAAACGATGACTTTTTGCAGCAATATGATGAATTATGAATATCCCCATTTTGCAGATGAGGAAACTGAGGCTCAGTGTTAAGTAAATTTCCCAAGACTGAAAAGCTAGTAGTACCAGCAGAGGCATGACACAAATCCTGCTCATTAACCTTCATGAAATCTAATTTGCCAGCTTTTGTTTCCCCTTGTGTCACGTACTCACCTGCTCAGTGCATCTCTAGAGCATGTTCCAGGTTTTACATTCTGTGATTCTATGAAAGGAAAAGTGCAAACATTTTAGTTTAGTTTTATTTTTATAAGTATTATGAATTATGTTTACAACCCTGGCAATGTTTGTTTATAATTATGCCATAATGTACATATAGGATCTTTAACTGTACGGTTCTTTCGGACACTTGAGTGCCTATTCATGAAACACTAGAGGACAACTGAGCGAATAGTAAAATACTATTTATTTGCATTTTCAGTTAACATGTGCTGTAGGCATATAAGATTCGGCCCTTTTCTGATGAAACCATATAGCTCTTTTGGACAAAATGTTCAGTAGAAAAATGAATTAAGAGATTCAGCTCTAACTCAAGTTTGGGATGCTCCTAGCACCTGGTGTAGCATAGATAACCAGTACATACTTGTTTATTCATCGAGTAAACAAAAACTATGAAAGTGGTGGAGAGAGGTCCTCTGCATAGATTTATTCTCAAATGAGATTAATACCTTAAAAAGAAATGAGTATACCTATCAAAATATTTAGAAGTAATTTTCCAACAAGTGATTATTTGTTAGTTTTATTGAGATCCATTTTCATTGCTTCATGATTTATTCTTTCAACAAAAATTGATTGAATGCCTAGTATGTGCAGGCATGGTGCTAGTTACTGGCATTGTAAAGGTGAACAAAATGGATAAGCTCTGCCTCCATAAAACTTAGGTTTCAGTGAGAAAAACAATAAAATACTAAAAGGAAAGTAAATTTCAAAAGGCAACAACTGTCCTGCTTTAATGTCAACAGTCATTTGGTGAAACTGCTGACTGGGGGAAGGGTGTTGTAGGCCCCCTTCAACCCAGG